AATAAAAGTAAATAAATCTTTAAAAAATAGATTACTATTGATTCAACCTGCTCATCATTCTTAACAAGAACTCAATGCAGAAATCCAAAATTTATAGCATCTAGATTAATTAAAATAGAAGCTAATATTGGAAATGTAGCTAAAACTCAAAGTGTTTGCCTTTGGAAAACATGATAGGGGAATACAGTGAGAAAGTGAGAAATAGAGAAGATAGCTGGTTTTGTTTTTGTTTTTTGTAGATCTCTTGATTGTGTTCTTAAAAATATGTTTTATTTCTGAGAAATCTAAAGATTTTGCATAGAATAACCAGGCTGTGCCCTGGTTAAGCATAGAGTAAATAGTAATGTTTTATTAAAAATCACTTTGCTTTTGGGGCCAGCATTGTGGCACAGTGAGTTAAGCTTCCACTTGCAACACTAGCAGCTCATGTGAGTGTTGGTTTGCATCCTGACTGTTCCACTTCTGCTCCAGCTTCCTCCTACTGAATGCATTTGGGCAAGTAGCAGAAAACAGCTTGGAGTGCTTGGGCCTCTACACTGACCTGGGAGTTCCAGACACAGTTCCAGACTCCTGGCTTCGGCCTGGCTCAGTCCCAGACATTGAGGCTATTTGGCTATCTGGGGGAGTGAACCAGGGAAAAAGATATCTCTCTCTCTTCCCCCTCTCTGTAACTCTGCCTTTAAAATAAATAAATAAATCTTTAAAATCTATTTTGCTTTTCCCCTGATAATATGAAGCAATCATATACTAAATGAGCTTAGTGGTAAGTCTCAATAATTTAGCCATCTCATAAACTGGTTCAGAAAAGACAACAGGCCAACAATAGCACTCTGCTCTTTCTCATATGCTTCAGAACTGGGAAATGTTTTCAATTGCTGGTGACAATTGATAGAAGCCTATAGAATCCAGCTACCAAAATAGGAGGTCCTGTTCTTTAAGTTCCAATTCAAATGGTTATCAACATGGAACTCGTTGCTCTATGAGCTGGAAGTCTGAAAATGACTGTGATGGAATGTAACTTTTCTGACTTTACTTTTCAGAGGCTTTGAATACTACCTTCACAAGACTGCATTTTGAAGTCATACGCTACAATGACTCCACAGCCAAGGAAATCTGTGATGCTCTGGAATATTACCAAAACATAGACCACATAGGCAGGGACTGCTTCGTCTGCTGCATCCTGTCGCACGGGGACAAGGGCATCATCTACGGCACTGATGGACAGGAGGCCCGCATCTATGATCTGACTTCATATTTCATTGGTTCAAAGTGCCCTTCTCTTGTTGGAAAACCCAAAGTATTCTTTATTCAAGCTTGTCAAGGAGATAAGTATCACAAAGGTGTACCTGTTGAGACAGACTCAGAACAGCAAGAAGCCTATTTAGAAATGGACTCATTGTCTCCAAAAAGATATGTCCCAGATGAAGCTGACTTCCTGTTGGGAATGGCCACTGTGAACAACTATGTTTCCTTCCGAAATCTCCTAGAGGGAACCTGGTACATCCAATCTCTTTGCAAGAGCCTGGAAGAAAGATGTCCTCTGTAAGTGTTGCTGACCTAACCCTTCTCTATGTTCTATGACCTGCCTCACCCCCAAAGCCATGATTATAGACCCATATTCAGAGTTCAATAGAATGTGCTTTATGATTGAGATATTAATAGATCAGAGAAGTATGCAAGACAGGGGATGGGAGATGCCCATTCACTTCCAAATGTCTTAACTGTGGGAGAGAAGACAAGTGTTAGCATCTTTGCTTGCAGATGGAGAAATGGGGATACTTATTTGGTGTTTCCTTTAATCAACACTTCAAAGGAAACAAAGTATCACAGAGCCAGGAAAGATGGTCAAGTCAGACAGTTCTGTTCCCTGTCTTTAGGCAGAAAAATTACTGAGGCAACCAAACTAGTTTAGAAATTTTCCAAGAAGGCTGGAAGCACTTTAAGGTTTAACATCCTCTTTTGAAAGTCCTATAATGGCTAACCAGACTCAAACTCTATAGGTACATTGTGGGAGATAAATAATAGAAACCAGACAGCTCTTGTGTTTCCACTACACTGGATGCTTTGAAGCCACACACGTGGGAAAATACTCCTTTTTCACTTGCTATATCACACACTTCCTTAAGTTAAATTATAGCACCATTCAACACAGTTCAGCCAGATACATACACAGCAAGGCACACGAATAGTGAGGAATATTTGGCAGGTTCCGTCTTGCCTTATATTGTAAGGGTCAATATAAAAAAATTAGAATTTCGCACTGCACGTGAAGAGTGCACAATATCACCATTGTGATATTTTCATTTTACAATTCAGATCATGAATCCGACTAGGTCCTAGGGACTAGCTACAGAGATGGAGGAAGAGCTTGCCCAGCGAAATTATTAAGAAGCCTGGTGACAAAGATGGGTGCAGATTTTGGACTTTCAATGGCCTGAAGTTTTGATCACATTGCAGATGAATCCATAGAAGCGGTTACAGGCAGAGGTCAGGGCATGTCAAGCAACATAGCAAATGGAGCAGAGTAAGAAAAGAACCCCCCGCTCCCTGCCAAACAACAACAACAACAAAAAACAAATCTAATCATGGCCCTGAGACTTCTACTGGTCAACGGGATTTCTGAGTAAACCAGGGTTGAATTACTAAGCTTTGGAGACAACTCACTCCCATGGCAAATGGTGATCTATCTTGCCCCAGCAACGGATAGCTTCAAATGCCTGATGCCCTGAGAAGAGCTATAGTTATCCCTGAGCAGAGCAAAGGAGATGGGTCAGCAGCTGGTGGTCCCCCAGATGGTCACCGTGTTGTTCTGTGTTTTTCAGAGGTGAAGATATCCTTACCATCCTGACCAAAGTGAACTATCAAGTGAGCAAAAAAGATGCTGGGGAGAAGAAGGAGAAGCAGATGCCACAGCCCACATTCACACTAACCAAGAAGTTGCTTTTCCCTCTGGATTGATGACATTCTGACATATCTAACACTAGGTTTATTTATTAGTTACTAAGTTAATACTGTTATGCACTTTTTAAATTAGATGTGAAGTTCAGTATTATTTTTAAAACAAAAATAGTTAAATGTAACAAAGTAGTTTAAAAACCTTCTCTTTCTAGCTGTTCATTCATATTCATAGAATAAAATAATTTTTATCTGACTGTTCATTGGAGACTGTTTTGTATGTGTGTGATCCCTGTTCTTTGTTTTTACATTTCCAAGTGACATTTCCCTGTTACAAAACATTTTGACCACAGCCTGTTCTGCTTGAGCTTTCCAAAACTGGCTTGCACCATTGCATTTTTATTTTATTTTAATTTTAATTTTTGATGATGTTTATATAGTTGATCAGGGTGGGAAAGATCAAGGGTTAGGGGAAAGTGGGTAAGACCATTGTTTCCAAAATTTCTTTTTCTTTTTCTTGTATCTGAGGGAAGGGAGGAGATAAGGGGAGAAGCTGCACCCAACCTTCCAACCACCTCAGCACCCGGGGATGGGGAACGGCAGCCTGATATCAACTTAGGGTATCCAATGTGGAGTATGTTCCTAGAGTTATGCTTACGTGGTTTTAATCGTTCTGAAATGCTGTCAGTCTCACAGATCCAAGAATGAGGAAATCCTTCCAATGTCCATTAGCTACCATAGTCAACCTTAAAGTCTCCATTTGACCATATATGTTGTTGTCATCACTTGGTTGAGGTAATTGTCCCTTTTTTTTTTCTGATCTCCCTCCTCTGCAATGGTACCTGATGTCCTCTGCAGACCCCAGTGCGCTGCCACATCCTCTGTATGTATCTGGGCCCGGCCATCCACTGCTCTATCTTTTCTGCTGAGAAGGGCGCCCTAGCTTCACCAGAACCCTCGCCCTTTCACAGACCCAACACCTACCAAGCAAGTGGGCCTGAGATATAAGCCAGGTGACCCAAGTCCCACTAGACCCCTACTTCTGGGGCTCACAGACCTAGCACCAACTGTGCAGGCAGATCTAAGGAGACCTGGGCCCCACTGGACATCCCACCCCCACACCCAGGCTCACAGAATCAGCACCCATCCACACACATATCTCCAGAAAAAAAATATGGAATAGGCTAGGCAACTATACTCACACACTAGTATGGTAAACACAGATTTGGCATTAACCAGGCCCAGGATACCCACCAGATATTAGTTGCTTTTCTCCCAGTAGTGTAACCTTGCCTAGGTACAATGCAACCTAGGTTGTTGCCCATAGCTGGGGACCATTGTGTTTTTAAAGCTGCTTGCCAACTTTTAAAAATTGGAAGACAACATGTAGAAACCAGAATCCTTTTGGAAGATCAGAATGTTTGACCTTATGCTTCTAGGTGGCAGCAGCTAAGAGGGCCTTAGAAGTGCCTTTTCCACATGAGCATGTACTTTGCTGGGCACCACTTCCCCAGCTCCTGCACACACCCACCTCCTAGGATTTTCCACTGAGGCTGTCCTTCATGCCACTTAAGCCCAGCCCGCTCCATTCATGTTGGCCACCTTGTTTGAACTCTCCCGATAGTTCAGAGATGGTGGTAAGAATCAGCAGGTCTTCTGGAAGCATCATTACTTTTCAAAAGCTACAAGTCAGGGAACATGATAAAAACGTGAGGACCCTCTGAGGACACATGGACAGGAGAAAGAAGTTGGGAGTCAAACCAACAAATCCTCTTTTGCCAGCTCCATGCTCCAGGAAAAGATAAGGCATGCCCTCCAATACAGTCAACATCCAACAGGAGAGGCCTTCGAGTCTGTCCTTTTCTAAGAGATTATGTCAGGACAGAATACATTGTGCAAAACTCAGAGACATGGCTTCTCAAAGAATCAACTATGCAAGAGTCTGTGATAAACCATGCAAGAGGACATGGCTTTTCAGGGAGGATTTGAGATTCACCATGATACACTAGGGTGAGGGTCCAGACATCCCCACCCACTCCGAAGACAGAGAATGGTGAAAATAAAAACAAAATTGGAGTCAGAGCAACCCAAGAGCTAAATTTATCAAATGCATTTCTCAAGGCAACCTCACAGGAGTTGGCCAGGCCTGTGGGGGTGGTTCCCTGTCACCGCCAGCTAATCCAGCCACGACCTTGCTTCTGTCAGCCTGGGAGAACAGCTGTTTGTTAAGAATTCTCATCTTCTGCTGCTACTGCCTTCCAAAAGGAACAAGTCGTCCTCCAAAGATGCGCTGTCAGCTGATTTTCCACATCGTCCTTCATAAATTTCTTCATTCTTGGCAATTATCTTCTGCCTGCAAAAAGGAAGGGAGTTTTACAGATTCAAGAGATAGAAAGGCATGTAAGGTGCTCATGACTTGCAGAGATTTTCTTGTTAAGATTTCTCTGAAAGGCAGAGTTCTGAGAGAGAATGGCAGAGAAAGAAATAGTTCTTCCCTCTGCTGGTCCACTCTCCAAATGGCCACAACATCCAGGGCTGGACCAGGCTGGATGCAGGAGCTGCAATGACAGGGACCCAAGCTTCCAGGCAGTCCTCTGCTGCTTTCCCAGGCACATCAGCAGGGAGCTGGGTGAAAAATGGAGCAGCCGGGACAGGAACCAGTGCTCTTATCACAGGCTATTGTCTGGCCCTCTATATCACAATGTCAACCCAAGACATTTTTAATTTCTGTGAGAGATGACATTCAGATGACGAAATTCCCACAGGAAAAAAAAATTTCCTTCTAAATCAATGCAGTGAAAAACCATAATTGTTAAATAATGAAGTTGATTTCCACAGGTACCAGATACTAGAAGCAATTGTATCAATAGGAAACCAGTGGGCCTGATGCGGTAGCCTAGCGGTTAAAGTCCTTGCCTTGAATGCACCGGGATCCTATATTGGAACTGGCTTTAATTCCGGCAGCCCCACTTCCCATCCAGCTCCCTGCTTGTGGCCTGGGAAAGCAGTCAAGGACGGCTCAAAGCTTTGGGCCCCTGAACCCCTGTGAGAGAGACCTGGAAGAAGCTTCTGGCTCCTGGCTTTGGATTGGCTCAGCTCCGGCTGTTGCAGCTGCTTGGGGAGTGAACCATCGGACGGAAGATCTTCCTCTCTGACCTTCCTCTGCCTGTGTATCTGCCTTTCCAATAAAAATAAATAAACCTTTACAAAAAAAAGTAGACCACTAACACTCACACCAAGTCCTCTGGGAGGAGACACAGTGAAAAGTCCCCAAGAGTCACAGCACTGAATCAACTCAGAAGCATGCAGATGTACTTTCTGAACCATTTTTACAGGAAAAATACAGACAGAGAAGTTTAGACACAGCCCAGCTCCACCTCAAAGACACCCTCTGGCACTCTGCGCAGCAGGCTCTGAGTGACTCTTCTGGCTCCCCACAGCACATCTGCATAACCTGTTCCCCACCCCATCTCCCTCCCACTCCTAAAGACTAGCCAGCTCCACATCCCTTCTCCTCGCCTGCCCCGCAGTCCACCCCCACCACGCACCCTCGGCTGCTGCATCAGGAAGGCGCACCTTAAATGAATGTTTTCCTCTGTTAGCAACTGGATGGTGTACTTGTACTTGTCTTCAGCTTCAGCAAGCTTGATCTGCAGTGTTTTCTCTAGGTGTCCCATGGCTGCTTTCTGAAAGATGTGTGCCCTTCAGCAGTGGTTCCCTCAGTCCCAGCCCCGCTCCAGCCAGGACCCACCTCCTTCTGGAGTTCCATCTGGGTGTTGCAGAGGTTCATGTTGAGTGACTCTAGAACAAGAGTTTGTGCGTGCAACTCTTCCTCTATGATCTGCATGAGAAGACAACATTTCAGGATGGGGTGCCACACTGGGGTCTACCTGTCCAGTTTCTTCTCCATGGCACCTGGACCAGAAGGTGAAGGAGCAACTGTGGCTACTCCTTCTCTGATACCGCGGAGAGCCAGGTGGTCACCCCACACTGTTAACGCCAACTCTGGACTAGTTCATTTATCTACACCTCATGGTCATTGTCTCAGGGCTGGGCCTTCAGAGCTCATGTGGACTGTTACAGTGCCAGCAACCGTTCATTCACTCAACAGGCCTTTATTAAATAGCTACTATGGATCCCAATGGCATGAGACTCTGGAAAAGGCAAAATTACAGACAGTGAAGGGATGATCAGTTGCTGGGATTGGGAGGGGTGAAATGGAAGGGGCAGAGGGAATTTTTAGCGCACAGTGACTATTCTGTAAGATTCTGGAGTGCTGGAGACAAGGCAGGACTTACTAAGCAAAAGTCATACAACACACAATACAAACACAAAGACCTACTGTCAGCTATGGATTTATGTTAATAATTATGCATTAACGCTAGCTCTTCCATCACAATTAATATGCTATCAAGGAAACTGCAGGTGGAGGTGTATGCAGGAATTGTTTTCTGATTAATTTTTTTTTACAAATCTTCAACTGCTCTTGGGCGGGCAGTGGGCATTCAGCTTAGTCAGTGGAGAGCCTCAATTTGAATCCCAGCTCCAGCTCTGGATTTCAAGCTCCTCCTAATGCAGATGCAAAGTTACATCTTTGGGTTCTTGCCACCCATGTGGGACACCTGAATGAAACTCCTGGTCCCTGGATTTGGCCTGGCCCAATCCTGGATGTTGTACACATCTGGGGAGTGAGTGAGTGGACAGAAGGTATCTCTCTCTCTTTCCCTCTCTCTCCTTTTTTCTTCTTATCAAACAAATAAAAAAATTTTTTAAGGAGGCTGAAGTGGAAAGAAGCAGCAGAGACCGCCTTAAAGAAAAAACAAAAAGGAAAGGGCATGGCATTTTGTAATTCAAGATCTTCTTGTGGTTAGAGCTTTACAAGCCATGCAAAACTTTCAGCATTCAAAGTGACCCAGTACACTGCTGAAATGGGCAACTCAAATCTAACTCTGAAAAGAAAGCACAGCATCTGTTTTACAGGCAGCCCTAAAATCCCCTTTTACTGGTTGATTGCAGAAAACCCTGTCTTATAACTTGCATTTTACTGGGAGTCTGTCCTTTTACTGATAGATTTGTAAAATGCCAACTCCACGGGCAAGGGCGAGAAAGCTTACCTCTTTGGTCTTTCTCAGTTCCTCTAGCTGCAAGGTGTCATTTTCATGCTGCTTCAAGAGGCCCTGTAAACCAAAGAGTTTCATGTCGAATAAGAAAATATGACTGAGAGAAGTAAGAATCGCAGAACAGGATGTGGGATTATGGTATGCACAAAACTTAGACACTGGCAATTTACACTGTGAATGACATCCTGTGCTGAAGTCAAATAATGAAAATATTATTTGTGTGCAACTTCATCACATTGGCAAATATTTAAAAGATTGGGTTTTCTTCTTCAAAATCTTTTCTTAAGTCGGGGTACAGATTCAATACTGTTACGAATTCGGTTCTCCCAAGACTTTTTTTTTTTTTTTTATAATTCAGTACAATACCAAAGCACAATGTCAGCAGACTTTCTTGATAAGTGTGTTTTAAAAATTTATATAGAAGTGCAATGGATGGAGAAAAGTCAGAATAATCTTGAAAAACAACAGCAAAATTAGATTATCTCTACTGCCTGACTTTAAGCTGCAGTACCTCAGGGCTGACAGTCGAATGGAGCAGAGTGGAATCTATGCCCCCACCCTCCTCAGTTCTTATCAAACTACTAATTATAACAAAGACACCAAGGCAACTCAGCAGAGAAAAGAAAGCGTCTTCCAAAAAAATCATTTGGGGACAACCAGATCTCCATATGGAACAAAAATGAGTCACGCCCTCTAACATAAGTCCATACGCAAAATTATTCAAAATAAATCATAAAAGTTAAGAATATAAAGCAATGGGGCTAGGGCTGTGGTATAGCAAGCTAAGCTGCGGTTTGCAGTCCTGATATCTCATTTGGGTGCTGGTTCCAGTCGTGGCTGCTTCACTTTTGATCCGGCTCTCTGCTAATACACCTGGGGAAACAGCAGATGATGGCCCAAGTGCTTGAGTCCCTGCAACTAGGTGGTAAACCTAAAAGGATCTCCTGGCTTTGATCTTGCCTAGCCTGGATGCTGCAGCCATTTGGGAAGTAAATCAGCAGATTAGCAATCTCTTTCTCTCTATCCTTGCCTTTTACATAAATAAGTAAATAACTATTTTTGAAAAATTTATTTATTTGAAAGGCAAAATTACAAAGACAAAGGCAGAGACAGAGATCTTCCATTTGTTGCTGTGCTCCCCAAAGGCGACAATGGCTGGAGTTGGACTGGTCTGAAGCCAAGAGTCAGGAGTTTCCTCTGGGTCTCCCACAAGCATGCAAGGGCCCAAGGATTTGGGCCATCTTCTGCTGCTTTCCCAGACCATTAGTGTGAGCCGGATCAGAAGCCAAACAGCTGGATCTCAAACAGGCACCCTTACTGGTTGTACATGGTGGCTTAACTAGCTACACTATAACAATGGCTCCATGTCTTTTTTTTTTCCTCTAAACTTCTGCACATAAAATGACATCATTAATAAACATGTAAGCCACAAGCTTGGAGACATTTGCAACACACCTGTTTGATAAAGGACTTGTGTCCTCAATGTATAAAATGCTCCTTCATATCAATAAGATAATTGTGGAGCTGGCATTTGTCATGATGTTTATGCTAGCACTTGGGACACTCAAATTCCCTAACAGAGTGCCTAAGTTTTACATCTCAGTTTTTTTTCTGTTTCTACTTTTCTCCTAACTTGTACCCTGGGAGGCAGCAGTTAATGGCTCAAGGACTTGAGTCCCTGGCACTAGTCAAGAGACCTGAACTGAGTTCCTACAAGTCTGACCTGGTCTAGTCTTGGCTGTTGTGGGCATTTGGAGAACGAACCAATAGATGGGAAATGTCTCTCTCTCATTGCCTCTCTTTCCAGTGGGTGTGGGGGGGGGGGCGGGGAGATAAACCCAATCTTTTCAACTGGTAAAGCCTGAACAGACACTACACAAAACAAGAAATATTTTGGTCCGTGAAAAATTTCCCGGCACAACTAGTCATCAGGAGGAGCAGAAGCATGATGCAATAGTCTTTCATAACCACTGGAATGGCCAGAATTAGAAAACTGACAACCTAATTATTGTGAATAGTGTGAAATAACCCAAATTCTTGGATACCTAGAGTAGGAAAGAGCTTGAGGATTTCTAATAGGATAGAAACTATACATAGCCTAGATTTCAGGGCATACCCAAGAGAAAATAAGAGTATTGGTCTGCAAAAATATTTTACGATGGTACTTATAGCAGCTCCCTTTTCTTTTGTAAAAATGAAAAAGAATATAACCCAAATCTCCAAAACTTGCATTTTTTAAAATTAGCATCACTGGGAAGGCAGCATGAGAGAGGAAAGGGAGGAATGCATGCAGTTTGAAGCCTGCCCTATGAGAGCAGCTGCTCCTTACCCAGACACCTGAGCCCTCTGGACCTCAGAAGCACCCCACACTGCAGCCCCATCCCCATTTCCTCACTAGCATTCTGCTCAGTAAAAGTAGTGAATATCATATATGGGTTTTCGTTAGCTAGTGACTTTTTCAAATGAGTCAATGTGTTTATTCAAGAGTTCTATGGTAGACAGGTATGGAAGGGCAGGAAGAAAAATAGAAAGAGAAAGCAAGAAAGAGAGTGTGATGCAAGCTCTAGATAAGGAGTTCACTTCCTGAATGCCTACAGTGACCAGCGCTGGGCCAGGGCTGAATCCAGGAGCTGGGATTCAATCCAGGTCTCCCACATGAGTGGCAGGAGTCCAGTGACTTCAGCCATCACCACTGGCACCAAGGTCTTCCTTAGCAGGAAGCAGAATCAAGGGCTGCAGCTTGGACTTCAACCCAGGCGCTCTGCTATGACACATGGGCATCTTTTGGCTATTCGTCCCTTCCCACTCCACTCTCTAATTGGTGGGTTTTAAATGAGCATGATAGTTGGAAATGGGTGCTTCCAATTGAAGTCGTGAAAAGCAGCTAAAATAGTATAGACATACTTTCCCTTTTGCATGAGAAGGGGACAAGAATACAAGAAAGTCTGCAGTCTAAAAAGGCAACACTTAGGACTGGCTCCTGGAATGGTGCTGGGTCCCACAGACGAGGTGTTTTGCTTTCTAGATGCTGGCCACAGTGATTACAGAGTTCTGCCTTGGGACACATCTATACCACTAAATCTTTTTGTGCCCTCTGAAAGCTCAGAGATCAGGTTGCTATTGCCTGTTTGCTTAGTAAACTTTCATACATTTGGTAGAATTTGGTCTGAGTTCAGCTTTCCTTTTAGCCTGATTCCAGCAGTAGGTTGGCAAGCAGCTCACCCTCACTTCCTGGAACTGGTAGGTAGCTACTCAGTTTGTTTTGCTCAGGTTCGCTTGCAACAATGCCCTTTCTCTTTAGCTATGGTCCAAGAGAAGGAGGAAGACAAGATTCAGAAACAAGATTTTGGTAAAACAGAGAATTGCAAGTTCTGCATGTTGAACATTCTGTTATTCCCATTAGTTAATTTGCATTCCTGTCACTCTGCAGTAAGACTGTCTCAACTGAAGGCCAACAATGCTGTCAGTCTACTTGCACATATCCAGGAAAGCTGGGTGGGAAGCAGCACCCAAAAAGACAAGGTCACCTAATTATAGAAGCCCTGGGGGAATTCACGGTATTACCTTGACCACTCAGCCAACTAGTGACACTGGGGGTTGAGTTACCTCCTTCTCTCGCATGAAATTCTCAAAGGCAGCCACATAGGATTCATATATCTTCTTCTTCTCTTCTTCTGACTCTAACTCAAACTTTTTGGTCATCTTGTGTTCTATGGAAGTGAGAGGAGAGCCTTTATTTGCAAAAGTACTGGGCAGAGCAGACCAGAGAGAAACCCAGAATAACTGAAGGGAAAGATGCTTCCAGTCGGGGTCAAAGTCAAGGGCCTCTCTGCCTGGAATTGGCCTTGGCACTCAACCTGTTGTTGCTTCAGGGTGAGATGAACCAAATGATTGTTCTCAGCTATGTCAGCCAGTTAGCCAATCAGCCACATGGATCTTACTGCCAATGCCTCTGGGTATTTTTTTGGCAGGGGGGTGGGATTATTTGGGATCCATTGCTTGTGATTTTGTCTATTTTATTAGCTCAAGTCACCTCTATGCTCTCAGACAGCCTTACCTGAAAATTCTTGGTTAACAGGGTTCTTTCTGTGAATTCCTGCTGGACTTAGCTTTGGGGCAGAGGGAGGCAGACATGGGAACCCTGGGCATGGAAATCAGCATGCAGAGCCCAGATGCCACCCAGAGGAAACACACATCCTTCAGAGTCTCAATTACGAGGGCGGATGGGGAGCGTCTGGGTGGGCAGAGAACAAGTGAGCACAGGTTGAGCCACATGGCAAGCAACTGAAGTCTGATCTCTCGAAACCCCGGGTTACATCCTGGACTTTGACAGCACAGGACACCTGTATATTTGTGGCTATCAGCCTGGGAGATGGCCTGGGTTGTACTGCACCAGGGTTCTTGCTAAAACCTCAGCCAGGCACAGCTTCCCATCCTGTTGCAGGTCTCCATGCCACCTTCTGGCAAGTCCAGGGTCCCCAGCAGAAGGTAGATTAACGGTCCAAGGTGGTAGCTATACTTAAAGGAGCCACTTATTAAAAGCCAACCATCTGTGAGCTGAATGGGGTTAGTGTACGAGACGGAATTGGTTTGTTGAGATCCCTGCCTCTTCCCAGCTAGTCCTCAAGTCCTTGGAGCAGCCTCCACCAACTCCTTTTTTTTTTTTTTTTTTTGTCTCTAGAGAAGCTAAGTGAGGGTGAGAGATGCATCTGTGGATTTCTTTGTAGGCTCCGTGCTGTGTGTCAGGCTTGGCAACACTAAATGTGGTTCCCTTGGGGAGCTGTAGAGGTTTTCAGCAGAATGGAGTGAAGGGTTACTCATTCCCCCATAAATGAATATTTCAAATGGCAAATCAAGACTATCTGGAATTTTGGGGTCACCTGAGTCCAGCCCCAATGCTTTGCCCTGCCTGAGTTTGGGCAAGTTTAGAATCAGTGAGTTTCAGAAAGTAGAACTTCAAAAAAGGACCTTACCCTAGCCACTTTGCATTCTTGAAAATTCAAGGAGCCTTCTATTTGGGAGTCCAACACTGCCCATGGCAAATCTAAGGCTGCCTTCTGCAAGTCAGGGCCAAGCTGAATGGCAGCTGTGTCGATGCAGGCATCATCAAAAAGCCAGAAGCTTCTGTACTCACTTTGCTGTAGCAGGATCTTCTCCCGCTCGATTTTCTCATCCTTCTCCCATTCGGCTTTCCGCTTCGACCACTTGTCTTCCATTTCATCATAAATGCTGTCCTGTGGAGGCAGAGAGGTGCCATGGGGAAGAGTCCTTAAGCTGGAGACCTGGGAGGCCCACATTCACACCACAGAGGCCCCTTGCTGCTCCAGCACCATGCCCCATACAGCTTGCCTCTCCTGCGGCCCTGCCTGAGGGGCTCCTCGGTGCTTGTCTGATGGGAAGGAATTCCCAGCCTAGCCCAGTCGAGAGACTGTCAGACCCTGAAGGTCAAGGGCAAACCACGTTCCAGTATTTTTCGGGTGGAAGTGACCTTTGTCGGAAGACAGGTAGAGAGGTCTCCATGTTGAGGAGTCACGTGCCAGCTCTTGCTGACCTACAAGTCTCTCCTGAGTAGCACAAGAAGAAAGCAGGAGAATAACTGGTAGTTATGTTTTACCTAGAACACAGTGGAGTCTTCCAGAAATTGCTCCCTCCCCTTCTTTTTGTGGGTGAGGTTAAATAAGCCCAACCTTATCCTAGGCCCGTTGGCTGATTCAGACTTCATGGGCAAGGAGTCCCAGGAAGTATGTTGGGGGTGAGTTAAGGGGAAAGGACTAGGTGGTTGGGGGGAAAGGGCTGGATGGGGTGGGAGCCTTGAATGCTGCTGGAAGACTCCAAGGAGCCTGTCCCTTCTCTCTTCCAGGTTACCAACAGGATTCACATCCAAGCTGGATATAAGCACTTATTTGAACTGTTTGTAGCCCTTTAGATGGGATTCTCTCTCAACATGTTAGCAACTGGTGAGCAATTCAGTGGCCATACAAATCTGTTTCTGTGGAGCATCTCAGATTGAAGCCAAGTACAAAGTGGATCTGGATCACAATCTTGATGCCTCTGAGGCTCTCCACTCCATGATATTGCCCCTTCCTGGGTCAGGAAATATCTTTTTGGGTTTTTGTTTTGTTTTGTTTTGTTTGGGTCTGGCACAGTGGCATAACAGGCTAGCAGAAATGATATCTCATATCGGCACCAGTTTGAGTCCTGGCTGCTCCACTTGTAATCCAGCTCCCTGCTTATGGCCTGGGAAAATAGCGGAGCATCCACTGGTTCACTTCCCAAATGGTTGCAATGACCGGAGCTCAACTGATCCAAAGTCAGGATCCAGGAGCTTCTTTTGGGTCTCCAACATGGGTGCAGAGACCCAACACCTTGGGTCATCCTCCACTGCTTTCCCAGGTCACAAACAGGGAACTGCATTGGAAGTAGAGAAGCCAGGACTAGAACCGGTGACCATATGAGTTGTGGAGGACTAGCCTGCTGTGCCACTATGCTGGTCTAGGGAATATCTGGAAAAATAAATTTTGGATACATGCTCAGCCTGAAATAGTGCATTATAGAATCTCAGAAGTGGTGCTCCTATTCTGCCTTCCATGGGGTGACCTTTGGAATGGAGGAGGATGGAGGAGTTTCCTTGAGATAATACTTTTTCTTTATTTTTGTAAATGTTGAGATTGTTAGTTTTTGCATTTCTGTTATTGTAAACAATGAGCAGCTATTATATTTCTTATTTTAAATATATTTTTTTCTGTGGGTCTCTTCAGGTTCTGGGTGTCTGACTTCTCATTCCTGGAGGTCTTCAAGTTCATGGTTCTCTCTGGGTTCAGTGAGTGCTGTTGAGCTACAAGGACGCAGGGAGTCTGGGGAATCTGAAGGTTCATCCCAAGGTTATCTGCTGGAATGCGCCTGGCTTCTCTCACACATCCTCCCAAGAGCTCCGGGTCTCACCTGATACATATGAAACATGTTCTTCAGATACTTATACTCCTTTCTCATCTCCTCTGGACAAATGAAAAACAACCAGGGAGTCGTGATTATTCCTTTGATATACACATGTTCAAATTCAAATGTAGCTCTCCTGCACACCTTCCTCACCCCAAACTCCTCCCCTGGGTAGAGAAAACTGAGTGGCCTGGAAATCCCCCTGGAAGTTTAGAATTGCAACTGCCTGCCTCCCACCCTATGCCCACTGATTTGGGTCCCAGGGGCACTGTATTTACGGGGTCTTCTCAAGTACAACTCTAACACAGTTTTAACAAGAATCCCAGGGGGCAAACCTACATCCATGGGGAAAAGAGCAACCAAGTCTTGATTCAGCCTCTGCTTCTTTTTCCATAACATTCCTTCAATTGCATGGGTTATGAAGGCAGACATATTCCCTTTGGAAAAGGGGCAAAATAAGATATATCGTCCTCAAGAAATTTAAGGCAAAGTGAAGGAAGAAGTTTAGGAAGTTTGCCATTTTCTGTGGACAACACTCTAGTAGCCAGCATTCCAAGGGATGACCATTCTTGCCCTTTCCAAGCTCAGATTCAATCATGAGGCAAATGGTCAGCAAACCTAGAAGTGGGGGTAAGCCATGCCATCATAGTGTGTCAGTGAGAACTGAATGAAACACCACCATCTTCCAAGTGAGTACAGTGGCTAATAAAACTTAAAATATGCTTTTAAAAGTGCCTCTCTGATCACACAGTAAAGAGCAGATTGGATATGGTCAGTGCTCAGATGGAGAGGTCAAAAGAACCTTGCTTTGGTCATCTGGGCAATGGGGGACACGGGTAGATAAGACAGTTCCTGTTCTCCACCTCACGCCTAGCCACTCTCTCCCTTTGAGCTTTTGAATGAAAGCCTGGCATGCTGGACCTGAACAGGGCCCTGGCCACAGGGGCTTTGAGGCCATGGGTGCAGCGGGCTGCCCCCGACCTGGCACCCTCCCCTGTCCTAACAGTACCTATCTTCTCCTGGGCAGCCGCCTTCTCCGCCTTCAGGGAGGCTTTGTAGTTGTTCTCCAGTTCGTTGACCTCCATCTTGTGGGCCTCTCTGAGCTCCCTGCAGGGTCACAACCATCCATGAAAAGAAGTCCCCAGGTGAGCAGGGCCTCCCCTACTGCCCGCATGCAGGCAGGGGACGGACCCTCGCTTCCTGAATCAGTCCCCTGCCACTTGCCCAGACAAGCCCGAGAGGACTCCCTTCTTAACTTCTATTGGCTCCTGTTCTAATCTCTACTTTTCTGTAATCAATTTTGTTAGCTTTCACAAAAGCATGGGAACATACGGTGTTTGTCCCTCTGTTGCCTCCCTTATAACACAGAATATAATGTAATCTAGTTCCATCCATGATGCTGCAAAAGATAGAATTTCATCCTTTGTACAGATGGATCATGGTTCATCTTACTCATCAATGGCTATCTTGTTTGAATCTATATCGTGGCTATTGTGAGTAGTGTAGACACGATATGACATGATGATTTCATTGCCATACGATGGACACATGGGAGTGGGACTTCCCAGGCCTGTGGCAGTCGTACTTTCAGTTTTGGAAAGCGGCCGTCCCTTTTTCCATAATGGCCGTCCTAGTTTATATTGTCACCAACGGTTGCCCCTCTTTGGACTCCTCACCAGCATGTGTTTCTGGTCTTTTTGATTATAGCCAAGCTGAGTGAAGTGATACTTCATTTAGGTTTTTATTTGCATTTCCTGAATAGTTGCTGATGTTGAACATGTTCATATTTCCAAGAGCCATTTGTATGTATTCTTTTGAGAAATGTCCAGATAGTTTGCTTGTTTTAAAATCACATTATTATTACTATGTGTTTAACTATTGAGTTACGTGAATTTCTTGAATATTCTGGCTGTTAACCTTCTGTCAAATGAATAGCATACTGATATTTTCTCACTATGTAGGCTGTCTTATCTCTCTGTTGATTGCTGTTGCTCAGAAAGTTCTTAGTTTGATAGAATTCAGTTTGGTCCTGTGTGTGTGTGTGTGTGTGTGTGTGTGTATCTGTGTGTGTGTCCTGTGCATTTAGAGTCTTATCCAAAAATATCTGCTTACACCAATGTCTTAAAGCATCCCCCCAATCCCCACCACACTTTCTTCCAGTGTTTACATAGTTTTGAATCTAACATTGAGGTCCTAAGTCCACTTTGTATTGTTTTCAATATGTGTGAGAAAGGGGGAGGTGGACTTTTCTTCTTCTGTGCCTTGGTATCCACTTTCCCCAGCACCATTTATGGAAGAGACTGTCCTGTATCCAGTGCATGTTCTTGGCATCTTTGTGGAAAATCAATTGTCTGTAAAATATGTGGATTAACTTCTGTTTGTTCTATTCTGTCCCATTGTGTCTGTTTCTATACCAGCAAAATGTTGTTTTTATTACCATAGATTTGTAACATACTTTGAAGTTAGGTGATGTGATGTTTTAAGCTTTATGTTTTTCTTTTTTCCCCCTCATGATTTCTTTGGCTGTTCTGGCTCTTTTTCAGGTTTCTTCTTTTGAGGGGGGAGGGGCTGTGTGTTTTTGTGGAATTATTAGGATGTTCTACATATAGGTTCATGTCATTTGAAAAGAGGATAATTTGATTCCCTCCTTTCCAGTTTTGATTCCTTTTTTCCCTATAGATTGCCTATTTTCTCTGGTTAAGATTTCCACTACTACGTGGAATAGTAGTAGTAAAAATGAACATCTTTGCTTTTGTTCCAGACCTTATATAGAACACATGGAACTTTTCCTCATCTACTGTGACATTGGTTGTAGCTCACCATACACAGTCTTTATCCTGTTATGTTCTTTGCAAACTTCCTTGTTGAGAATTTTATCATGAAGGGATACTGAGTTTTACAAAAAGCTTTTCATGCATCCACTTATCTAATCATATGGCCATTGTTCATTCTTTTGAAGTGATGTATCACTGATTTACATATATTGAACCATCCTTGCATCCCCAAGATAAACGCCATTTGATCAAGATGTGTCCTCAGGTGCCATCACTTGGTATGTAAATATTTTGTTGAAGACTTCTACTTCTGTGGTCATCCAGGGATGGTCTATAGTTTTATGACTTTTTGTTGTTGTTGTTATTGTGTCCTTGTCTGATTTTGGTATCTGAACAATTCCAGGCCTCATACACTAGAAGGGGTGGGGTTCTGTCCCATTCAATCTCTTGAAACGGTTTAAGAAAAAATGGTATAAGTTCATCTTTAGACATTTGGTAGAATTCAGCAAAGAGGCCATCAGGTCCTGGCTTTGCTTTGCTGGAAGACTTTTTTTTTAAAAAAACTTATTCAATCTCACAGCTTGTGTTTCTCTGTAAAGACGACCTATGTTTTCATGGTTCAATTTCTGTAGGTGAAATATATATTCATAAATTGATCTATTTCCTCTAAGTTTTCCAATTTGTTGGCATCAAGTTGTTCATAATAATCCCTACTTAGGATCTTTTTTGTGGTCTCCTTTATCCTTTCATTTAATTGGATCTCTTTCTCTCTCTGTTGTTGTCCTAGATAATGGTTTATTTGCATTGTTCATTTTTCAAAAAAGCAACTCTTTAGTTAGTTGATGTTCTACACCTAAACAAATCTTTTTTTTCAGGGGCAGGTGTTTTGGAATGAAGAGGTGGTGGAAGATCTCTCCCTGTCTTTCTATCTCTGTCTGTCTCTCTGTCTTTAACTCTACCTTTCAAATAGTAAATATCTTACTCCCTCCCCCAAAAGCTCCCTTTTCCAATTATTTTTGCTCTGATTTTTATTATAGTTTTTATTCTATTAATTTGAAGTTTTTTTTGTTCCTGCTTTTCTAGTTCTTCCAAGTGCATTGTTAGGCCATTTATTCAAACTTTCTCTTTTAAATGTAGGCACCTACTTCTTAAGTTTCCTTCTTAGTGCTCCTCTTGCTTTTCCTTTTGAGGCTTTATTAATCTGCATTGTTTAATGTAATTTTTTTCATTTATATTGTATAAATTTTTTTTCTAATTTTAAAAGTTTTCTTCATGGGCCCATTGGTAATGCAGAGGCATGTTATTTAGTTTCCTTGTATATATGTAGCTTCCAAAGTTGCATTTATTGTTGGTCAGGGAAGAATGTGAAACTATTTAAATTTTTTTTGTTTGTACTTTTGAGGCTTGTTTTTGTGGCCTAACACATGGTTTGTCTTGGAAAATGTTCTATATGCTGATGAGAAGAATATAACTTCTGCAGCTGTTGGATTAAATGTTCTGTAAATATCTTTTAGGCTCATTTGGACTATATACTCTAGTATAATTATAGGTCTATAGTACAGCACATTTTAAAGTTCATGTTTCTTTGTAGATTTGGGGGAAAGGATCTGGATATTCCTGGTGAAGTAAAGTTATCATTTGTTATTGTATTGGAGTCTACATTCTATTGCATTGGAGTTTTTTTCTTTAGAAAAAATAATGTTTGTTGATATTATTGGCTGCTCTAACCATGCGTGTATGTAGGAGGCCACTTCAAAAAAAATTTGGGGGGGCCTGGCATGGTGGTCTATTGGCTAAAATCCTCACCTTGAATGCACCGGGATTCCATATAGGCGCCAGTTCGAATCCTGGCAGCCCTGCTTCCCATCCAGCTCCTTGACTGTGGCCTGGGAAAGCAGTCGAGGATGGCCTAGGGCCTTGGGACCCTGCATCCATGTGGGAGACCTGGAAGAAGCTTCTGGCTCCTGGTTTCAGATTGGCTCAGCACTAGCCATTGTGGTCACTTGGGGAGTGAACCATCGAATGGAAGATCTTCCTCTCTGTCTCTCCTCCTCCCTGTGTATCTGACTTTGCAATAAAAATGGATACGTGTTTTAAAAAAATGTTTTGGGAAATAGAATTTAAAAAGATAAGTATGTTTTTAAGTCTATACATGAAGGGGTCTTCTAAAAGTTTATGGGGATACAGGAAGGAAAAAAGAGAATGTTGAAACAATAGTCTTACCCAATTTTCTGTAGCTCTTAACCCTTTGTTCCCTAATCAACTATGTAAAGATTATTAAAAAATAAAAATAATAAAAAATTAAGAGTCTATGGGAAATGAATATAATGAAAAACTATGCACACATTTCAAATTTTTTGCATAAAATAAACTTATCTTTTAATTCAACTGTGCATTAGCTTTTTGATGCATTGTCATATATCGTCCTTCTCTCTGTGAGCCGGCAAGATTTCTGCTGAGAATTCACCTGGTATTTCTTATCTCTTGCTGCTCTCAATACTATTCCTTGTGTTTGATTTTGGATAGCTTATTTTGTATCTGTGTATTCCTCTTTGGGTTGAATTGCTGAGTTTTATTGCATTTTGTTGTCAGGGAATAATGAAAATGCTAATAAATTTCAGTTTTTCTGTAAAACTAAACGTACTCTTAAAATACAGTTAGTATAGATCTCAGTGCATGAATACATGGCTATTTCTCATCTAGAAGCTCTGTTCCTCTGAGGTTTCTGCTGTGGTTGTGGTGCCCAGGAGGTTTGAAGGTATATCTCCTGTACAGACGATATGCATCATTTTAATGCCTCCTTAATTCCCATTGCCCTTGACCCTTCCAGGCCTTCCTCCTATATTCTTCAGTCCCTGACTTAACCAGTGGAAGTAAAGGTAAGAGAAAGGAAAAGACAACGGGAAGGAAAGGGGGTTGTAGGGGAGGCTGAGATGAGAGTCTTGGTTGTTGTCACAGAGAAGTCTCACAGAAAACAAAAATTGGTTCGTCTCAGCAACTGAGAGAACAAAACACACAGGGAAATTATTATTACTGAAAAGAATTAGAATAACTTTTTAAAAAGCCACAGGAAGGCCTTTGCTTCATTGTCGTATCCTCAGCTCAAGCCACCTGCTCCCAACGACTCATGAATCATTCATGTCCACCTTTGAACCCTGACTCCATTTGGCACTGAGGTCCCAGGGCGGTGGAATCCTGCACAGGTGACAGGAGCTGGAGGGCCTTTAGCTCATGCCAGAAAGCGCACCTGTTCTTGTTCTGGAAGTCCTGTTCCATCTCAGCAAAGCGCAGTTCCATTTCATTAGCAAGCTATAAATGAGAGCAGCATTAACATCCAAGGATTGAGAACCCCAGCCCCACTCTGGTTTGCATCTTCTAAAGAGCCCTTCCCTTCTTAGGGACGCTTCTCCCTCCCCCATGCTGCTCCTGTTAGTGTGCACAGCAACAAAGAGCATAGCATGTTGCCTTGCTCCATGTGCTTCAGTATCTGAATTATAAACTGCAGCAGTTTATAATGTTGCTGCTTGAACATCACCTCTTTCACAAACTGTTTGTGGGTGGCCTGGTCTTCTCTGCTAGATTGTCCTCTATAAGATCATGGCCCAGGGCCTGAGTTGTGGTGTAGTAGGTTAAGCAGACATCTACAACACCAGTGTTCCATTTGGGTGCTGCTTCTAATCCTGAATCCCAGTCCAGCTCACTGTGAATGTGCCTGGGAAAGCAGAGGATGATGGCCTAAGTACCTGGGCCTCTGCATCCACATGGGAGACCCGGAAGAAATTCCTGGCTCCTGCCTTCAGCCTGGTCTAGCCCTGGCCATTGTGGCCATTTGGGAAATGAACCAGTGGATGGAAGAAAAATCTCTCTGTGTGTCTCCCCCACTTCTCCTACTCTCTCTGTAACGCTGCCTTTCGATTAAACAAAACAAGTCATTAAAAATAAGTAAGATCATGTTTCTGGATTCTTAGCTATGTAATTAAATGGATCATTTTTTGAGAAAAGGGCTTGACCCAGAAGAGACAGAAGTTACTATGATGAAACAGATAGCTAAACAGAAAACATCACTTGCACAGTCTGGAATCACTTGCACACAAGGAATGTGAAAGGGCATTTGCAGATCCTGCAGGACAGAACCCAGCAGCTTTCACAGGAACAGAGAGTGGGCACCTGAGGTTTTCAAGAATCTTCGGGGGGGGGGGCAACATGGCTGTGCTGATGTCATTAGCAAGAGCCTCACAAGCTTTAGAGCTGAATTCCCAACAAAAGCCAGCTGAGGAACCCTGGTGCCCCTTCATGCAAAGAAGATAGTGTCACTTCACACACAGGAGACACCTAGGGCACTGGAACTGAATGAGTTCCTGCAACAGCTGAGTTCTGGAACACCTGAGTTCCTGCAATTATGGATGAGAATAGAATCAGAGAAATACTACCAAGGAACTTGACTCTGCCTTCGGAGACCTAACGTCTACATGATGCGGCTCGTACAGTAAAGTGCTGACGTGAGTCTTGCTCTACCCACAAGGGTGTGGCCTAAGGCCAGGATCACTTACCAACTTCTGGGCGCACTGGTGGTCTCTATTCATTTGTTCTATTATTGCTGTCAACTCTGAGATCTGCTCTTCTAGGTCATGAATGATGTTAGTCCTGTAGGGCAAGTCACCCAGTCATCCATCGTGCTTTACCGTTCCAGCTCCTGAGTGTTTCCAATTTCTGTGTTTGTGAAAAGTCCTTGGGTACGTGGTGACCTTGGAAGATAGTCCTCATGAGAGGGCTGTTAGAAAACCGGAGCTAGCGTCTCGCTGCCCCTTCTCTGCTTCCTAGCTCACCGTGGACACTTCTGTATGCCTGGGCTCCTCCACCTGCCTTGGAGCCTGGGCAAAGCCTGCATCAGCTCACTGGACTTCCAGCCTCCCAAACTGGAGCTAAGTAACCATCTATTTACTTCATAAGTAGCACATCTGGGGGCATTTGGTGACCTGAAAGAAACCTAATCGACTCCTTTTCTTCCTGCAGATGGTCATGGATGAGCAGAGAGGCAGGCAGCAGCTGATCCAGGAAACAGAGACTGGGGTGTTGCTCCTTTGGGCCAGGTCAGGTGAGAGAGGCTGAATTCACTCAACATGTGGGTTCTTTAGTCTGACCTCCAACCCGAGACCCTTCTCATGGGTACTCCTTGAAAGAGTTTGGTTGAACCCTTCCTCTACACTGCAGGGTCTGTTGGTTATTATTATTACTGTTATTCTTTGCTATTGGTGTGTTTTCTATTGTTACTGCTGGTCTTTTCAAGCTCTGTCTTGGAGAAGTAATTCTCACAGTAAGCTGAAACTTAAATAATTGCAAAGCCATTCCCACTCAACAGGGAGGATACAAGATGTCTGAACTTGGATGGAATAGTGGGGAAAAAGAAAATATGAATGGGAGCTCTGGAAGGTAGAAGGTGAAGGCATGAAGAAGGTGAAGGTGAAGGCTCAAATTGCATCAGAGCATTAAAAGTGGGCGGGGCCTGCCAGACAGGATGGTTCTGTTTGCTGGGAGTGAGTCTACCAGAATCTTCTATACTGCATCTCCCAAAGGCAAGACTGGGTGGTATTTTTGGACATTTAAAATAAGAATGAGATGTGTACTGAAGCCTGCTGGAAAATCAGATTTTTACTCTTATTATTGCATATGCCAAATTCAAATTTTTTTCAAGTGAGTTTTTCATCTGTTTGGCACCCCCATGAATTACCCCCTTGCTATGGTATCCATCCTCCCAGGGATTTTCCACATCAGGTGCCTGACTCCATCTTCCTGTTCTTAGGGGTCTGCTCACCAACAGGCTCAGAGCAGAGTGGGGTAAGGGTACAGGGACAGGGGCAGCAGGAAGGGGAATTGGCAGCACCTTGCCAGCCGGGGCCTGTGCCCTGTGTGGATGTCAGAGGCTGGCCCTCAAGCCCAAGCAGGGACAGGCAGGTTCAGCTCCAAGGGGCTGGGTGCTGCTCCAACGGTGTTACCTGGAAAACCCGGCTTTGTCCATAACCTCTGAATCCAAGGGCTTTTTCCTACCGAACATCTCGTCGCCCAAGGTGACAGATATCTGCTCACGATTCCGAATGAGCTGATAGCCAGGTGACACGTTGATCACTTCCTGGGCATCACGGGGAAGAGGAGATATAATTGCAGACCTGGCATGTTGAGATCTTGTCAAGCCTCCTATTGCCTTAACTCAAGGACAGAAGAACAGACAGGATGGCAATGTTCTTCCAGTTTCCTCATTTCCCTAGGGCGCCAATCCCAATATCCGCTGGCCGCTGGCTATCCCTAGATATCTCTCAAGCTCAATGCTGCCATACTAAACCATCATCGTCCTGGCCTGCATTCTGCCCTTGCTCCTCCTTCCTGTTCTCCGGAGTGGACAGAGCCAAGAGGCAGCTGGGCACTGTAGGCTGCTAGCGCTGTGGGACCGCCCAGACCCGTGCTGAACCTTGGTTCTGTTAGTCCACACCTCTACGCCTCTGCATATTTTTTCTTTCTTTTTTTTTCAAAGATTTGTTTTATTTTTATTGAAGAGGCAGATTTACAGAGAGAGAGAGAGAGACATAAAGATTTTTTCCCTGGTGATTTACTCCCCAGATGGCCACAATGACCAGAGCTATGGTAATTCAAAGCCAGGAGCCAGGAGCCTTTTCTCCCAGGCAGGTGCAGAGTCCCAAAGCCTTGGGCCATCCTCTACTGTTTTCCCAGGCCACAAGCAGGGAGCTGGACGTGAAGTGGGGCAGCTGGTTGATAAACCGGTGCCCATATGGAATGCTAGTGCATTCAAGGTTGAGCTATTGTGCCAGGCCACTTTGCTTCTGTTTTCTTATTTAAAAAGGTGGGTAATAGGGCTGGGCATTGGGCCTAGATGTGATAACACAATTTGGGACATTTGCATTCCCTATGGAAATGTCTGGGTTTGAGTCCTGGCTCTGCTTCAGATTCTAGCTTCCTATTGCTGCATACCACAGGAGGCAGCAGGTGCCGGCTCAAGGATAGGTTCCTGCCGTCCACTTGAGAGCTCCAGATCCAGTTCCTGGCTCCTGCCTTTCCTGGAGGCACTTGGGGAGAGTGAGCCAGAAGACAGGAATGATCTACTTCTCATTGTTATTCAAAAACATAATTTTTAAAATAGAAAGGCAATGGGTTAAGAACTCCTGCTTAAAAGGATTCTGTAAGGAACAAACTGAAGTAGCATGATAAAAATGGCTTGCAGATTTGCAATCTATATCTATATATCGATATCTATATCATCTATATCTATACATCTACATCTATATCTATTTCTGTATCTATATCTATAGGTTCTTCATCCTCCCACGTAGATGCGAGTCAGCCACATGGGCCGTCATCCAGCTTCAAGCTCTTGTTGTGCCTTCCCACTCAGCCTCCCTGCCATCAGCCTGGCTTCCCCAGCATCCATTGTCCTTTCTACCTTGAGGGCAATTATTTTTTTTTTCCCTTGGCTTTGACACTTGATGTTAGCCAAAAGGCCAAGAAGTGGTTTCCCTGGCTTTTAAAGGACTGGAAGAATTTGTCAAAAGGAGAAACATGGGTTAAAAATTCTAAATATAAATATAAATATAAATATAAATATAAATATAAATATAAATATAAATATATATTCAAAGTACCCATAATATCCCACCAGAGGGCACCACTCAGCAACTGCAAATCATGCAGGTTAGTTGGGTCTGGCTGATAGGGGCTCCTGGACATCACAAGGAGTGGGCCACACTCCAGTGGGGGTCAGGATTCTTCTGGACTTAGCCGCCTTGTTTCTCAGCACTTCCTTGTCCCTGGCTCCTCAAGAACCCCTGATGGGTCCCTCTGCCTGCACCTGCGGCTTTCCCAGGATGGTTGAGGGATTCCTGTAATTTAATATGGGCTGTGATGTGACTGGAACTAGATGCTACAGGGGTACTCTCTTTGCTGCTCCCACCCCCATAAGGCAGTAGAGGGTGGCAATAAAGTGCTCACTCTGGGACTGGGCATTTAGCTGCTTATGAGAGTGCCTGGGTTCAGTCCCAGCTCTAGCTCCTGACTCCTGCTTTCTGCTTAATGCAGCTCCCAGGGAGCAGCAAGCATGGTTCAGGTAACCAGGTCCTTGTGGGGATCCAGTCTGTACTCCCAGCTCCTGACTGACTGACTGCCTGGACCTGGCTGCAGATGGCTGCTGCTGCCATCTGGGGAGTGAGCCAGCAGGTGGGAGTCTCTGTTCTCTCTTTCCATATACAAATATATAGTATAGTATAGATACAGATGCCTCTCTATATATCAATATCAGCATATATATATATCTATAGACACACACATATAATTGTTTAGATGTTTTAGTTTTGTCATTCACCAGCTTTGAGTTATGTACAATCCTAACAACCCCCTACCCCCAGGATCTCTCTGAAGACCCAATGAGGTGTCTGCCAAAGGCACGGCTTGCTAGTGCTCACAGCTCCGAGTGGCCGCCCCATTTCCCTCTCCTGTGTGTACTCACGTAAGGTTTACTGCTGTCCTCTTGCTTTCCTAACGGGATTTTCAATCTGCAAGACACAGATGTTTTCAGGGAACACCGAGGAGCACCGAGGGGTTGCCCTACCCTCCTCCTGTCATCGGCTGACCTCTGCTCTCTGGGCTCTGCCCACCTGACCTCCTGCAGATGCCCCTGACTCAGGGTCCTGACGACCCCACACGTGACCGCTTATGAAAAGCTCTTGGTCAGAGAGCGAGAGAGTTCTCCTTACAGGGCTAGGACCCCTACACAGCCCCCTGCACAAGGCTCTGCGCGTCAGGTGGCACCTGCTACACACACGTGTATACACATGTTCATATGCTCATGGTGTGTAGCCTTCACTGGAGAGTGAAAACAGCTTATATAAAGAAACTGACAATGAAACAAATTATACATGTCTCACTTCAAATCTCTATGTAGGTTCCATGCAAATGAATGTCACATCTTTGTATGCATAAGTGTACATATAAAATGAACCATATACATTAAAAGTAAGAAGAAAGTTACAGTCGCCCCTCAGTATCCATGGGAAATTGTTTCCAGGACGCCCCCATGAATACCAAAATTCACAGATACTCGATTCCCTGTATCAAATGGCATAGCATTTGCAAACAGATTACCTAGACCATGTCTTCTCTAAACACTGTGTGAATAGTTGTACTGTTCAGGAAAAACTGACAAGAAGAAAATGCAACATGTTTAGTACAGACACAATTGTCTTTTAAATATATTTTCCATCCTTGGTTGGTTGGACCCATGACCATGCAGCCCACAGTACTGTGTGTATGTGTCTTTATGACACACAGCTAGGCAAGATTATAACAGACTGCCAAGGGCTCATTTGTGGTAGTTTTTAAACTGTGGGTGCCAAGAAACCACAGAATCTATGCATTGAACCTGGGGTTAAGGGAAAATTCACAATGGGTTTGGACAAGTCTCTGACATCTCTGGTAGCAAGTATTCCAAGACAGGCAACTTTGTGAAGTTCAAGGTGGGAGATGATTTTATTCAAATGTCTCAAACCATTCCTACTCCAACTGGCCATGAAAATACTCACTTTGAGTTGACAATAGGTTTTGTAGCTGGTTGGGGTTGGACATAATTTTGATCTTTTGAAGCTGGCAGAAGAGGAACTAGCCTGAAAAATGAAAAATAAATAACTGGAAGGAGTCAACTGGACATTCATCAACCTGTTTTAACACTCATGGATTAACTACATCTCCACAACGACCTGATTCTGGACTACATGTAGAATCTTGAAGATACGAGATCTTTGATGCCCGGGCACCTGCTTGCCATCCTGGGGTGTCTCCAGGCTAGCGGCAGTTTCCAATGCTCTTGTCTCATGTGAAGGAGGCAGTCACCATCTAGGCTGACTCCTTGGAAACTGCACTTACCCTGATGGGCCAAAGTAGAGACTGTCTAATTAAAAAACAAAAATCACGCAACCCAGACAGGACCAGTGAGATCAATGGACAGCCAATAGTGCCACAGGGCAAGCTGGGTCAAGCTAGGCTCTTGGTATCACTTCAGCTTTTACTGCCACGCATACTATTTTTAAAGATCTTGAGAAAGAAAGTTGAGCATGAAAACCAAAGCCCAAGGCTCATCCAATCTCAGATAATCCTTACTTGGTCTTTGCTGCAGCAGTCTGGCTTGGTGGATGAGGGGTCTTTATTAATTTTCTCGGTCCCAGGTTCCAGGGATCCCAGCAGGTGCAATAGATGAGAGGGTTGGGGTACATGGTCCCAGGTCAGTCACGGGCAGTGTTGGTGGCTAGCTCAGGGAGCGATTGCTGAAGTGGGCAAGAAACAGTAGAGTTAAACCATTTAGAATCAAAGCAAACAAACGGTCAACTTGGGGAAGGCCAGCAAGGACCAAGAAAACAATAGTGGATCCCAGGAATGACCGGTCCAGTGTAGCAGCTGGACAACATTCCAGATAGTTCATCCATAAAGTCCATGTGAAATGCTTACTGTGAAAAACCTTTGCATGGATTTCAAATTATTTTTTCCCCTCAAATAAACTTATTCCACATGTCAGCATTTCTTATTAGAACATTATCAGCTCTTGCTACTCAGTGGATGGGACAAAGTTAAATCTTTCTCTAACAGAGCACTTACTGTGGGCCAGGTACGCAATAAGTACTCAAAGATTGCTGTCACAGTCTTACACTTGGGCAAAGTCAGAGAAGAAACAAGTTGCAGGTTTAGAAGCAAATCTAAGTGCCCGGACTCCCAAAGCCCCGCCCTGCTATCAGGCTACGGTGGCTCTTAACGACATGAAGAGAAATCCTCACAGTGAATCCTTCATGGAACTTTCTGGAAAATTAGCTCTGTTCCTCAAACAACAGCACAAGCGAATTTCACAGGTCCTCATTCCTGGTCACCTTCTGAATTAGAGGGGAGATTCCTTTGTGATTCCACACAAACCAAACCCCTCGAGGAGGATCTGCAAAAGCAGGGATCAGAGAAACATGAGCGTGTGGTCCTGTATGTTGCTTTTCCTGTTTGTGGAACCTCCCTAAAATGATGGTACAAGAATAAAAGTGTTTCCATTTCACAAGAGCCAGAAAAGTCAATGTTATACAGGGGGCATACGTCTAAAGAATTATGGAAAATGCATATTATGAAAAAATGCATAAATTTCAATTTTTCACACTAAAATAGATTTATCTTTTAATTCCATTTTCCATTAACTTTGTGAAATACTTTTATGTATGTTTGACACAAAAACTAATGCACTCAGCCTAAGAGATCCTGGCCTACGTGCTGGCCAAGGGGGTTTATGCCAAAGCCAATTCTTTTGTCAAGGGTCTGACATGACATAGAGAGGTGTCCGTTTCTCAGGTGGGGGACCACACGGCATGTATTTTTGCTTTTCTGAGGCCCAGTTTCCTCATCGGCAAATGGAGCCCATGCCTGTGCATTTCATATGAGACCACATCAGGAAAGCCTGGAGCATACAGTGGGTTCTCAGCAATCGAGAATTTAACTTAAGAACACTCTCAACCCAACAGTGGCTTTTTTGCAATGAAGCTTCTATTTCTGCTATTTGGGGAGGAAAGGGGTGTGTGTGTGTGTGTGTGTGTGTGTGTGTGTGTGTGTGTGTAGCAGCAACTAGAATGATGACTCAATTGGTTAATCCTCCACCTACAAGCACTGGGATGTCTATAGCCACCAGGTCATGCCCCAGGTTCTCTACTTCCCATCCAGCTCCCTGAGTGTGGCCCTGGGAAAGCAGTGGAGGATGGCCCGAAGCCTTGGGACCCTGCACCTGCATGGGAGACCTGCAAGTAGCTCTTGCTTTGAAATGCTCAGCTTTGGCCACTGTGGCTTGGGGAGTGAACCAGCCAATGGAAGGTCTTTCTGTCCTCTCTATAAATCTACCTTCCAAATAAAAATAAATTCTTCAAAAATTCCTTTAAAAATAATTACAGAAAGGCCTAAGGAAGTAGAAAGTAGCAATACTTGGAGATGAGTCCCAAGAATATTTTATAGATCAGTTTCCAGAATTCTCTCTAAAGGGTTTATATAATTTTTCAGTAAATGGCAACAAACCAAACTTTTTTTGTCCTAAATATATTTTTTTTTTGTTTTCAACAAATGTTAGTAATGTAAATGTAAATGTGTATCATCAGATTTTAAATTTAAGTTTTTTCTATGGAGAAATTTCTAATGTGGCAAAGTAGGAAAAGGAGTATAATAAACTCATCCTTCTAGTCTGCACAGAAATGTGTGGCTACTCTCCAATACGTCCTTGCCCATTTCATTCTAACACCAGACCATTTGAAAACCAGTCTTTAAAACCACTTTGAGATCTCTGAGTCATCCTGACCATGTGAATTTCTCTTCTGTGGATGTACCCATTTGCACTTTCACCCAGGTTTGCACTGATGAACTCCAGGTTGTCTACCCTGCCCCGCCACATTACACATGCCTTGCTGTGTATTCTGTTGCTCTTTAAAAGTCAAGGCTGCTCCCTCTGAACACCCACAGAAGTAATATTCAAAACATTCAACAACCAGTGAGACAGCCCTATTTAGCAATCAGCACAGACAGGAGCTGTGGAGTATGAAAACAGTCCTGTAGGACCCTACTTCCACATCCAGCCAGACACTTCTCTTAGCTGCTGAATCACTGAGGGCATGTGGCAGTGCCAGGGATGGAGTTGGAGGGCTTGGGTAATGGCCATTTATTGGTCAGTGTGGTAATATTTCAGCAGTTCACTGACTATGCATAGTAAATAAGCATCAGTCCCTGACTTCCTGTACTGTCCCCAGAGGCAACCAATGTTGCTTTGGGGTGGTGAGGGAGTGCCCTTCTAATTTAATATTTACTGTGAATAGTAAAGCATTAAATTTTTATGTGAATGAGAACATGTGCATCTCATGCTGCACTCTATTGTTTTCTGTAACGGTATATGTAGAAGATACTTTCATCTCAGTATAAGTAAATCTGCATTTGCAGTGGCTCAATATCTCTTGTATCTATAAGCATGTGTGTGTGCAAGAAATCATTCTCCTTTGCTGCATGTCTCGCTGATGACTTTACCTGAGGCCCAACAGGCTGCCGGTGACAGTTGGGGATGCTGAAGTCGCCGGTGGCCAATAGAATCTTCAGAGAAGTCATAGTTAGTGTGAATAATCAACAGGAAAAACAGTTATACAAAACATCTTTTCCAAAGAGCTTACCTTGGGTGCCCCAAAGCTTTGTTTTTTTCCATGCAGTTCCTTCTCAAGTCGAATCTCAAAGAAATCACAGTGTTATAGACAAACGATTCTCCTTTCATACAAAACCAGAGTTCATTTTCTATTCAATCCCAAAGTGGGAGAGCTCAAGATTTTAGTGGACATTGAATGCCAAAGCAGAAACCCCACAGTGTGTCTAGCGCTGAGAGACAGACTTTTAGGTGATCCAGCTGAAGGCTTCTGCAAAGGCTGAATGGGCTCGAACATGAATTCTCCTTCCAAAGACCATCCACTTGGAGTCGCTTGGAATATGCAGCCAATGTCAGACTGGAGGAGGAAGTCACCTCTCCAGACTCCCTTGACTTGGACCTGAATTGTGAGGTTTGTCACAATTTTGTTTATTTTATTGTCATGGGAACAGAATCGCAGCTCCTCATTGGCTTGGGGCACTCAGCTCTTAAAGTGAGAGGGTTGGACCATAGCCAGCCACCTCTGTGACCACCGTCACTGCCAGGAATGCACACTCAGGCTGTTTGCCCTCTCATCATTAGCCACTAGACACTGGTAGGCTCATGGAGTGTTTTCAGAGGAACAACTTCTGGGACTAAACAGCACTCCTGGGCTTAGTGAGCGTGTGGCAACAGTCACCAAGCTGGGCTGTACGGATTTTAATTCCTTTGTCATTTGCTTACATAAGTCTGAGACTCCACAGTAGGCAGTTTCTCCTTTAATACTTTGAAATTTCTTACAGTACAAATTTCCAGGGTGTAAGTCTTTCAGTTACCTAGTGTTTATAATTTTTTTCCCCCAAAATCTGGCTTTTTTTTTTTTTTTACTGTAGAATTCTAACTCATGGCAAGAGATACACTTTGCACATTGTATCATAAAGGTTTTATGAAACAGTCTCCTTATTGCTTATATTAGAATTACTTTTGCATTTCTTTCTCTTCTTTAAATTTCAGCTGACTGTAATGCACTAGAATGACTTCATGATTTGCAGATGGGCCATGAGCCACAGTTCACAAGACTCTGCTATGGACTTACCCATCCCTGCAGCCTCACACTTGCTGTCTGCAGCATGCTAGGTGTGCACATCTACCCCAGTTCTTGTACTCGATAGAGCTTGGAGACTAACAGCAAAGCGGATATCAACTTCAAGAAAGACACAATGAATCTACTCATCAGACGCAGTGGGAGTGTGCAGCAGGAATTCCTCTTAGAGTTTAATGAATCTGGCAACATTTTTCATCAGAGAAGAGATCCAACTAGATCTCAGAAGGATTATTCTGACCTCAAAGCAGTGAAATAGTCAAAAGATCCAAGACAGAGGTAAAGATGCCAACGAACCCGTCTGTGCCAGTGGTTCAGATGAGAGCAAAGGGCTGGCTTGACTGAGGATGCAGCTGTGGGGATGCAAGGGAAGATGCAGTGAGACTTGGTGACTGGCTGGATGCCAGTGTGTGGGAAAGGATGAGGTCATGGCACCTGGGTTTTGAGCTTGAGCAGCTGATTAGAGGGCGGTGCGATGGGAAAGTCTGGAGGATCAACAGGTCGAATGGAGAGATTGTGAGTTCAGTTCTGGACATGTTGAAGTACCAGGGGGACATCTAAGTGTATGTATAGGAGATCTTATTTGTTTTGGGAACTTAAAAGGAGAATGTGGGGTACAGACAGAATTAGCAGTCCTCAGAGGAGACAAAATCTCAAGCCAGGGCAGTGAGGGCGAGCACACGGAGAGAGGGCATCTTGTGAGGCAAGAGGTGCTGGATGAAGCCAGGGGAACAACAGCATTCATGACAGGGGTCCTCACAGGGTGGGCCACATATAGTTACACTATATATAGCTGTTTCTTGACTATATGTGGCTCATTAACTTCATGGAATATGTCTGGAGGTGGTGTGATCAAAGTTGTTGCAGACTCAGCAATGTCCCTGAAAAAAGGTTTTTTCCATGTGCTATACCAGCCTCAGGGGGCAGTCTGAGGGAAGCCTCATGGCTGCATAATGGCTGCTACAACCCCAACCACTATGATGGAGACAGATTTTCTGAGCTTA